TGCAGGCTGGGCACTCTCCGACCGTGGAGGGTGTCATCTGCTTTTTGTCCGTCGAGGCTCGAGGCCCTTCGCTCCGAATTCGGCGCAACTTGGTGAATTGGTCAGAGGTCTCTCCGGAAAACAACTTTTGCAGGCTGGGCACTCTCGGACCGTGGAGAGTGCACTTTGAAGGTGGTTTCTGACAGCTAACCGAGTTTTTTTTCCTGTCTTTTTTTCCGAGAGTTAGTGCAGCGGTGAAAACCTCTTTGATTTCGGAGAGTGGAAGAGTAGTGCAGCGAGACCCTTAATTGTGGTCACGCACACCCAGGTCCTGCCGTAAATGCGGTCAGATACATTTGAGATAGTGCTAGTGTGAATGCACCCTGGGTGTGTAGCAAAAGGGTCAATGCATACTCAACAGTCGCACTTTTCCTCTTTTTTTTCCTCTTTTTTTTCCTCTTTTTTTTCCTCTTTTTTTTCCTCTTTTTTTTCCTTTTTTTTTTCTAAGCCGGCTCCAGTGCTAGGAGGGGTGATAAGAGTGCCCCTTCTAGCAGATTGCCAGGTTGCTCCCGTGTATTGGTGGGGAGCTACCTAAATATCGCTTTTCATCATAACGGACAGTTTCAGGGGTTCATGACAGTGCTGCTATTTCTTGGCCTTTTGGCTAAAAAAATAGTAAAAATTACTAAAAATAGATAAAGTGTAGTATCTTTTTTGAAGTTTTTCTGATCAGTTTAATATATGATATGTGGTCCATCGTAATTATAAAAAAAAGAAAATCAAAGAAAGATGGCGGCTTTTCAAGGACCGGAGGCAGATGAGGGACCAGGGTTCCATCGAAGGAGGGATTGGAGTTAGGTGTGGAACTGGGTGGGGTCCCATCAAGGGAGCATTGGAGTCAAATGTGGGACAGCGGGCCTGTTCCATCAAGGAATGGAGTCGGATGCGGGAACGGGTTCCAGTGAGTGGAGTGGAATCAGATAGGGGGGGAGCGTTGGGACTGGGTTCCATCGAGGGTTGGAAACAGGTGTGGGACTGGTTCGGGTCCCATTACGGGAGGATTGAATAAATTAGATGTGGGAGTAGGTGGGTTCCTATTGAGGGGGGATAGGAGTCAGGTGTGGTGGGATTGGGTGGGTTCCCATGGACTCGTGGAGGGAGGATTGCAGTGAGGTGTGGAACTGGGTTATGTTCCATCAAGGGACTATTTGAGTCAAAACAGGGGGGGGGGGGAGGTGTATTCTGCTCTCCACGTGTTTTGTGTTGTGTTGTGCTGTTCTTTGTGATGTGTGCATAATGTGATTTATTCAATTGTATTGCATGTGGTGCTAAACTGATGTGGTGTTGTCAAACAGAATACGCGTGACTTCCGGCCAGGACGAAGATGTAGACGAGGACGAAGGTAAAGGGCAAATCCGCAAATCAAACATACGAGCAAGGGGGGGGGGAGCGGAATAGGAGCGAGTGTCATGTCTTTGAGGCATTTCTGTCTTTTTTTCTGTTTTTTTTTTTCTCTTTTGCCAAGTCTCGAAGGAAAAACGTTGAAAACAAACAGGCTTATCATCTCTTTCTCCCAAGTACAACGCCCGGGCGTTATACAGAAAGACAGAAATTCTCTCTTTTGTGTATCTTTTTTTTTTTTTTTTTTTTTTTTTTCTTATAAAGAAAAAAATTCTGGACCATTTCTCGATTTATGCGTGTCATCCTTGAAAGCGCAGGGGCCATGCGAATCTTCTCTGTATCATTCCAATTTTAACGGATGTCCCGAAGGACACTCTTTTGTGTATCTTCTAGTTGTGCACTAGATGGAATTATAATGACCCTGGGCCAAGTCCAACTTACCTGAATTCTCTAGATTCCGAAGATCAACGGCCAGAAATGAAGGATCTGGCGAAGGGGGACCTGGCCCCTGGAGGCTGGAGTCGTATTCACAGAAACAAGTGCAACCCCACTAAATTGCACTAACCCCCTAACGGGAGAGTATTGTATGCAATACTACACATCTGATTATGTGAGGATTTGAACGACAGTCAGACATACATGCATGCATGCATGCATGCAGGCATATGTGCACTAAACACCTTGAGGCCATACTCACACTGGGATTGTTTCGGCTGAGCGCTGGACGTGATTTCGGCCCGATGATGCATGATGCATCAAGTTCTTTCTGGCTGCAATTGCTGTTAGATGCATTTGGGAAAGTGCTACCGTCTTATCCCGAATACAGCGTATGGTCATTATAGCTGTATTTGGGATTACTTGGAGTCAAAGATACTGACGGTCAATATTGACCGTACGATGTATTCGGATGAAAGACGGTATTCCCTGAGAGTGTGGCCATCCTTTTGTGTCGTAGGACATGCCTAATTGGACCAATTGATTAATAATCCTCACAATTCAAGAAAAAGGATTAATTCAATTTAATTGTAATTTAATACCAGACAAAAAGCAGGGGCGGAAGGTAACCACACACGAGGATAATCCATTTGGGTGTGGTCGACAAAAAGAAAAGGAATTCCATACCTTCCCCCCGGCCCCCGCCCCTTTTTTTTAAAAAAACACTTCTATCGACTTCTATTCTATATATGTAACTGCTTGCATTTTTCGCGATTCTTTTTGCCTGTTTGCCTGTCTGTGAACCTGCAGAAAGGCGAAGGCGGCCAAGGACCAGGCCAAGGTCGCGGCTCACCACTGTTGCTATCGAATGGAGCAGCAATCCAACTGGTTCCAGCAATCTGCAGTCTGCAGCAGAGCACCCTCCCAGAGCGGCATGAACAAACGATCATTCGAAATGCCGAGTTTCCCTGTAAATCATATATTGCTTAATTGGATAATGCTTGGATAATCATGATTGGATAATGATTGGGTAATCATGATTGGTTGGATAATGATTGAATAATCAATATTAATCATGATTGGTTGGATAATGATTGGATAATGATTGGATAATGATTGGATAATGATTGGTTGGATAATGATTGCTTGGATAATGATTGAACATCCCCAAGGACCGAGTTGTCAAAAGGTCACAGTCTCTTTGACTCGTCAGTGAGTACATACGTCATGGAGGGCAAGCGTGCAGTTGGTGCAGTCGGCGGCAAGCCAGGCTTTGAGTGACAGTAAGGAAAGGAAAGGGAGGTCCTGCAGATATGATCATCTGTTCCTGGAGGACTGATAATCATTCCTGGTCTAAAAGGGGGGGACCTGGTCCAAAGGTTCTTTATGGGGCACCGGCAAGCAGAGAAGGTGCAGATTTGTCAAATTTGGGGGGTTGGGGAACCCCTATTAAGAAAGATGTCAGATTCAGAATTGGTGGGGCCAAGGCAGCCTAGCACTGTTTCTCAATTTGTAGCGCATGCCAAATGGAGAAGAGGAAAAGGAGAAAACTAAAGAAAGGTGAGGAGCAAGCCGCAGAAAATCGGTCACATGGACCGCCAGAATATGATCTGTACTAGATTACATTTGTATGTATGTGACATCATGTGTATTATTAAAAATTCGGTCTTCATAAGACATGACATTGGCAGGATCAGGCAAGTAGCAGCCTTCTTTTCATATATATATTCTAATCTAATATATAGCTGCCGGGTAAACCGTAGGCAGAGAGAGAGACAGAGAAGAGGACAACAAACGAGGGGCTGTGGCAAACTGTTTTGTTGGAGTTTCACGGACTCATCACGAGGCTGAACCCTCAAAACAGTATATATAAGTAATAACAAGAATAGCGAGCCCAATAGCAGATTCTGCAGCAGCTGAATAAAATCTTAACACATCTTATAATGACATACAATAATAATAAACATAAAACAGACAAGATTAATATAGAATATAATCATAAATTTATATTCATTCTAGAGCGTGCATTCCATTGTCTCGGAAAAATTCTCCCATAGCACAACCTGCATAAGGAGCAAGAAATTGAAGAGGAGCAGATATATATGAAACTCCAACGAAACAGTTTGTCACAGCCCCTCGTTTGTTGTCCTCTTCTCCCTGTCTGCCTACGGTTTACCGGGCAGTTCTATTTGACGATATATATATATATATATATATATATATATATATCTTCTCTCTCTCTGCCTACGGTTTTACCGGGCAGTTCTGTTTGTGACGATATATAAGCCAGCTTCTGTTACTAGGGAGGGCAGTCCATTTCCCGTCTAGGAAAGACACCCTCACCTGCCTTTAAACCGCCAGTCCATTTCCCAGCTATGCGGTCCTCCAACGGACTAAATTTCTCCTCATGGATTAACTGGGCGCACCGTCTAAATGGCGTCTATGTGAAACGGTTTTCACCTTTTAGTAAAAGCGGATGCAGTACTCAGAGTTCGATCCCTAGACCTCACCCTACACCTGTACAGTATGTGTGTGAACCCCGAGAATTGAACCTGTGACCTGTGTATTCATAGGCAGTTGGTAGACCTGTCGGAGGTCCGTAGACAGCTGGGGTTCGATCTGTAGGTCTATAGCGTAGGAATCTTAGTGAGTTCTGGAAGCTTAGCTGTAGACCTTCTAGAAGGTAGGCAAGTGGGCAAGTGGTCAAGTGGTGAGTCTAAGGTAGGCCCACGTTTTCAGACGAAGACAAGTGGCAAGGTCAACAGGTA